ATCCTATTGTTCAAAGAGTTCGAACACCAAAGTAATAATCAGCCCGAGAATCAGGTATTTGTCCTCAGAAAACACTTTTTTCTTTTTTCTTTTCACATTTTACTTTTACCTTTTGTCTGAAAGAAGAAATACAGGAGAAGATATAAAATATTATTGTGATGTTTAATGGAGCAGAAGTTCCAACAGTCCCAATAAATATTTTGACAGGAAAGGCAGAAATTCTAACTGTAGCGCATAATCCGCGCCTACAAAAACAGCTGTCACCCATGTATTATCCCGTTGCTTCTCTCGTTTTCACGACATGCTCGACAGCACCGGAAATTCGTCGCGTAGCCATAAAAGTGGAAGATGCGCGCAATCAGGAATGCGTTTGTCGCGTTGCTCGATGAGAGGTATCTCTCTATTATCTTCCTACAAGACGGTAGAAGCGCGCGTAAGAAGCAGACATTTCCACTTCTGGATTGCGCCAGCGAGTGAGGAAACAATCGATGTATATCGCCCATTCGCCCAGACGATCGCGCGCATACTTTTTCGGATTCTCTCGTTACCTTAATCGTCGCATTTCTTCGGAATAAAATTGCAGTTCCACTTGTTACAGGATTCCGGACTTTGATTTAGCGGAAATTCCTCTGAGGAATTGATATAAAAAGGATGTTGAATTACTGGAAAAATAAACGACAGTTATTCCGCGTATCGTATTACATAAAAATCTATGCAATACATACAAAATTTGCAATATTTACAAATTAAATATAATGATATTTATAATATTTGCTTCAAAATTTTACTTCTTGTAATTTATCAATTTTTAATTGAGTAATTTTATCAATTGTATTTAATTCTATTAATTGTAATTAATTGTAGATATATCAATATTCGCTTTGAAATTTTATTTTTTAATATTATTAGCTTCTTGTGGTTTATTAATTCTTAAGTAATTTTATCAATTGCGTTTAATTTTATTAATTGTAATTAATTGTAATCTTATTAATTATAATTAATTGTAATCAAATAACTTTGTTTTTTTTATGAATAAAATTAATGTCAATTTTTGTTAGAATTATGAATACTAGGTTTTTCGCTATTTAGCTTAAAATTTGAATATTGCTCAACTGTAGATTTTTTAAAAGTGCTATCAAAAACATTTTAAATGCGTGAGAAACATGTCGATGTAACAAAATAATGATAAAGCAATAAAGATATCTGAATTTCTTTTGCTCATATCTTCAAACGTATTCCAAAATTAAACTGATAAACTTTGAGGGAATATAAACATGTAGGTATAGTAATTACGTAACGTGTGTCAAAATCGTTGTGTGTGGACATAAATTTATGCAATAATGATAAAAGAATGCAGCATTTTTAAATAGTAGAAATAACTATTTAACAAAACAAAATATTTATATAGGAACAAATTATTCCTAAGTTATCTATTCATAAAGTATAACTACACTGCTTCTGGCAATACATAAAATTAATTTAATGCATCCATAAATAAAGCAAATATGAAAAGCAAACTTTTAAAATACTAATTACTACTTATTTTCATGCTCTAAATAGTCGATTAGTCATGTATTCAGAACATATCTGTATCGATAAAAACGCATTCTGAATACAGGCTATGTAATATATCGGTTCTAGTATCACGAATGTATTTTCTATCTTTTCTCTCCGTCTTTTTTTATCTTACATTCCTTCCACTAAATGAAGATTTTGATTAAACTTTAATTTAAAAATTTGAAAATTTTATTTTGATAAAACTGGTTAAAAATTATAATTGTTCTTTAATATAAGATAATTGCAATTTGTCTTTAAAAATTGTATGCCTATAAAAATCTTTGTTCTCCTCTAACTTATTCAATTAGGATATTTTATATATAACAGATCCTTATTACACTATTCGTAATAATCTTAAAAATGTACGTAACAATACGGGAGATAATTACTGGCGACCCGGAAGAACATGATTAAATCAATTAATTACATTCACTCTTAATATCAGAAGTTTATACACTCGTGCAAAAACTTGAAATACGCAACGGGCTTAAACCGTTCGCAAACTCGATCTAAGACGATCTGCTTTCTGTTCGCAGAAGCATCCGACGTACCGTTTGACCCAGGCGACTTTCGATTCCAAATAAGAGAGAATGGGAAAAAGAAGACTCAACCGAAGGGAACGAGACGTCGCCGATCCGTACACGACGTAGCGATAGCAAACGGCAGCAACATCTGATCATAGCACATGTATGCCGGTCGTGTAAAAATAAAAAAAAAAACGTCAAAAACCAAAGTTCTGCTAAAAGGAGTTGCACGCGGAAGAAGGTGGTGACAGACGAGAGACTGAAAGAGAGAGAAAGAGCGAGAACGAAACGAGAGAAAGAAACGGTGGAGAGAAATCCTAATGCGGGCGCGCGTGCAAGAGACGATTTCCGAGCGATTTATCGTCTCAGATTCGCAGGTGTTCGTGCACGTCCTTCACGGCCTTTGTCACCAGCCGTCCTTTTTTTCCTCCTCCCCCCCC